TAGGGTTTCCTGCCTAGGCAGGGGGTTGTACTAGAAGACCTCCAAGGTCCCTTCCAACTCTGCTATTGTATTGTATTGCATTACTTGCCTAGGTGCTGGCATGCCGCGGACCGCTGCCAGTCCCTTGACCGGGGGTTGGGGACCCCTGGTTTCAGGTAGCCTATATTCTTTCTCAGGGCGCATGGGACAAAGTGGGTCCGAGATCTCCTGCTGTTCGTCCAGCTGTCATTCCCCCCTCCCAACTTCCGTCGTGTATACATGCAGATGGATTGTCCCTTTGTTTCCCCTCCTGGGCTTTGATGGCAGGATGCCGGCAAAGCGCCAAGCTGAAGAGGACGCATTTGTCCACTCACCTCCTGTTTGCTCATCCAATTGTCCACCTGCTCGGTGTCCCGGTAGAAAAGCTGCAGGTCCATGCACTGCTCGTACTGCTGCCGACGAAGTTCCCAGAGTTCCAGCAGGGCTGTCCTCTCCTCCGAGAGGATGGTCAGCTGAGAGAAAAAGGAGAAAACCACCTGGGCATCAGAGGCAGGAAGCCACCAGCAAAGTGTCCACACGTCCTTGAGAATGGGGTTGATCTGGAAAAAACTTTTGGCCTATTCCTGGTTTCCTTATCAGAGTGGGAACTGGTATGTCAATGCTAAAGCTTCCCACTATTTCTCTCTTTATTTTTGGCTAGGAGGAGAGGAGGAAATAACGTGGACCCTGGGCTCACCCCCCACACACACACTTTCTTGCTGGCGGTAAAATCGGTTACCTTCTCCTTCACTTCGTCAGTCGCATAATGTCCGGCAGCAAGCAGGGCCTGTCCAGAGTCGTCCGCAGATTTAAAGCTGTCTTCGTGAGCATCGATTTCTCCCTGCAGCCAAATAACAGTAGAAACATGGTCAAATCAGTCGAGCCACACAGAAACAAAACACCCACCCACAAATGCACAGAGGAGGAATGTCTTTCAGCAGAGCGGGTGAGGCATCCGGTAACAGTCAAGCAGGGTTCTGGAGGCCAAAATGTATCCTTGGTGGCCCATCCATAAACTCCATTCAAGGCAAAATGCAGCAGCTGGATGCTTGACATCCAGTTTGTCAAGGTCAGGCTGGCTAAAGGATTGTTGTGGCCCTACGAGCTGGCAGCAGACTTGGCCAATGAGGAGGAGGTTGGGGAAGAACTTGGACCAGTTCTGAAGCCTGGGGAAGGCTCTGATGGTGCTCAGCTTCTGACACAGAGATACAGTCAGGGCCATCTGGCATTTCTCAGCCACCGGAGAGGCAGCTGCTTTTGAAGGTGAGTGAGGAGGAAGAACAGATGGGGCCTGTTACAGATGCACGTATGCGCAGAGCAGTTAAGAAAGAGGAACAACAGAGGACAAGGAGTCAACTTGGGAAGCAAAGCACATGTGGACACTGAATGGCCCCTCCCTGGCTGGGGAATAAATAGAAGGAAAGGGGAGCGACTATCGTAGGAGACAACAGTTCGTATTTCTGAAGATTTTGCTCATTGTGTTTCGTGCCATAAAGACTGCCAGGATTTAATTTGCAGCTTTTCAACTGAGAGCTCACGACTGCCTGGACTTTCGGTGGGTGAATGTAATTATTTCACAAGAGATAAATAAAGAGG